TGATGAATTAATGAAAGTGTTATTGATCAAAAAAAAAATGCCACTCAATTTCAGCCAAATCGAACAAGGTTTGACTGGTCAAACAGTCACTTCTTTTCCAGTTGATGATGCATTCTGTAGGTATACTAACTTCAATTTCTTTCTTTGCTTCCATATTTGCATCAATTTAATTGTTAAAAAAGGCCATTACCCGGTCCTGTGGGAGTGGGGGATTCCATTAGGGTAGAGCTGCTTGCTTCCATGAAAGGGGTACAGATTGCGATTTGGGCTTGATAAATGTGGAGATTGAAGGGGACTCAAAACTGGTGATAGGTTGGCTGAAGGATCCAGTCTATAACCTGGTGCTTTAGGGATGAGATGAAAAGGTTTAAATGGCTAACCATAAGCATGAATTTTTTAGAATACTTTGGGTTAGGAGAATGGCTAATGCTATGGGAGATGGGTTAGCTAAACAAAGGGGTAAATAGGGATAATTTGTATTGGGCTCAATAGTAATTGACCTTTGTAATTTGCTTGTTGAGGTGAGAGATTGCACTTATGCCTCTCTGTGGGCTGCTTGTACTGCATATTTTCATTGTTCTTTAATAAATATTAAATACTTACTTTTACTTATAAAAAATAAAGCCTACAGCACTGCATATTAGTTCAATGAATAAAAAAAAGGGCTATTACCCAATGTTGGTCCCATCTATCTGGGGTCTTGGGAGGGTTGGACTGTATATGGACCTAACCTTTCAATTTTTTTTTCCCACAAAATGGCCGCTCTCACGCTTGAACCATGTTCTCATGCTTGACTGCCTAAGGTTTAATTGTTATGCCCCATAAAAAGTTTTCTGGTCAGCAGTTTATTGGTTAAACTGGGGATTTAATCTTTCAGCCCATAAACATCATCAAAATACTGGAAGCTGGAAAGCCAACTAGATCATAATTTTTCTGGTCCAACCATTCAATCTGATTTGGGTCCGATCACTACTCTGGATTTGGCCAGTATCCACTTCCACTGTCACATTAACCCTATGTCCTATGTTTATTGATTATTGAAGGTTCCAATTATTTATTTATTTATTCTATTCAGAAAGTCCCAGAAAGAGGGAATCATTTTTCGTGTGGTACAGATAAGTTACATTGGAAGTCTAAATTATAATTAGACTTGGTATCCAGCTATTGGGTAGTAAACTGGCAGATGATGAAACAGTTACATCGGTCTACAGTGATTAGACTAACATTCTTAGCCTTGGTTGGTTTACAGGCAGTTTGTTTACTTGATAAGTTCTTTCTAGGTATGCTCATTATGGTTATATTGATTAGGGTTGATCCTTTCTGCCTGTTGGTTCTCTTGTTTTAGTTGAGTTTATACCTTCCCAGTTGAGAAAATTTAGCCAGCCTCAGTTGGGCACTCAAATTATTTTTAATTCTTTACTTTGTTATGATGGTTCCTCAACTGCTGATATATTGATAACATTGATACAGTGTTTTAAAAACCAACCCAGAGGCTTACAATGGGTTCAACTGTCCAATGGGCTCAGTCAACGATGGGTTGAAAACACTGCTTTGATGTAGCCTGTGGTAGAATTCTTTTGTATGAACTCTTTATTTTGTCTTCAGTCATTATGTGTGTTTGATGATTGAAAAAGAAGTTTCCTGGTTCTTATTGCTTCAGTTGGAAAAGTGACCAGCACACTTTCCCTGTTGTACGTGCCTAGGACTGGTTATTTGATTAACTAACAATTGACATTTGTTGAAGAAAAGGGGAAAAAGGAGAAGGAAATCTTAGGGCTGGAAAAGGATTGGATAGAATCTGATATAACTAGACCCAAATTTTATCTGTTAATATACCAACCGAGGGCTGGCTCGTTGGTGTGTTAACTGGTTTATTCCTGCATTGACGCGGAATCGAATCCTGCAACCAGCACTTTGGGGAAGAAGGGGTAAGGGGAAGTTATTAATGGTGCATGGCACCGAATACCAAAAAAAATTATCTGTTAACATATGGAATTTTGGATTCTAATAGAATCTTATCTGTCAGATCTAAAGCAGACAGATTTAATTCAGATACTGAATACAATTAATAAATTAAGCTAAATACTATCATTTAAAAATAGCTCCTATGAGACTATACTAATTGATGGAAGCTAGTTTTATGTAGATATATACGTACATTTGAATATTAGCAGATTCGATCTTATTGAGCTGTCTTGGGGTTAGTCCTTATTTGATCCAATTATAAACAGATAGATTACAGACCACCTTAACCAGATCAGATGTGAATTTGAATTCGGAGAAGCGATTACCATTTGTAGCCCTAAGAAACCTCTATGTCATTACTACTTGAATGCTTTATTTGGACCGTGTTAAATGCAGCTATTTTATTTTGTTTCCATGCTTGTGGAAATGGGGCTAGGATATCTTATCAGATTGGTGGGTGGGCCTAGACACAACGGTTGGGTTGCTCCCCTTATATCTTATCAGATTGTTTTGGGGTGAATCCATTTTGGGTCCAATTATAAACAGATAGATTCAGATCAGATGAACTTGAATTTGGACAAACAGGTACCCTTTACAGCCCTAAGAGAAGCTCTATGTTTCTACTAATTGAACACTTTTTGGACCATGTTAAATGTTACGTGTTATTTGATTTTTCCCTGCTTGTGGCAATGAGACTAGCATTTTCAGTTTAATGTATTTGTGAATTACTGAACTGTGGTGTATCTTTTCTCATGCAGTGTTGAATATTGACTGACTAGTTTTTCTCCAGGGGAACAGATCTGGCATCTCTCGCTTGTTAAGTGCAGATCAAACACAAACTGAAAATGCTCAGATCAGTTCAGCACCTTCCACTGCACAGACAACCTCTCCTGTTATCACAGTTCAGGCATCCTATGCATCAAGCCCAAGTACGGCAGACTGGAGTGGACAGACTCCATCTTCTGAATTTGAGGATGTGGAGTCTGGGGATGACCTAGGAACCTCTACTCTTTCTGAAACCATCCCTTGTTCCACATTCCAGAATGTTTCAGCACATGACACATCAGGTATACCTATATCCTGATATGTAGTAACTGTGGTTTATCCTTCATCAGCAATTGACTTTTATCCTTTTTATTATTTTATTATTTTCAATTGACATTGTTAAACTACCACCAAACAAGAAGATAAAACCATAATTGTCCTAGCTGACTAGGCACCTGCATAGGCTTTGGCTTTTTTTCATATAAAAATCTTGGTATTATCACCTACTAGAAAGTAGAATTAAGACAACATTTTATAGCTTGTGATGAAGTTAGGGGATAAAGCCCTATTGTGTTAATGCAAGAGGGAGATATAGGGAGAATATATGTGCAAGTGTGTTAAATCAATAAATAGGGAAAACAAACAAATTATCGGACAGAGCCCAAGGATAAAAAAATCGCAACGTATCGAGGTGTATCGGGAGCTTCCCGATACGCCCCTACAGGGGGAGTTTCGGGTCAGACCCTGGTTCAGGGGTAGAGGGGCCTTAAACCGACCCCTCTGAACCAGATTAAAGAAAAAAAACTAAAAGAAAGGTGGAAGTGAACCACAATACAGGCTGAACACCCCTACCGGTGTATCAGCCTGTATTGGTATTTTGAACCTTGATGGAGCCCTTGTTATGTTGAATGCCATAGAGATATAGAAGAGGAAAAATGTGCCGAGTGTGTTAATTCTGAAGGGAAAAGGATAAATGGGTGTAGCCACTGTTATGATTATAGTTAGAAGGACAGATAGATCATAGAAGTGATTAGAATAGGAGTTGAATTTCTACTGCACTCAGCATATTACTTTTTCATTTTTTTGAGAAAAGTAAAGTGTAATTGTATTGAAATAAGTATAAGTAAAATGTCCTTTGTACAAAGAGAATAGTCTGTACAAGTCAAGAGGACCTCAAAAAAAGTCCACTTTCAAAAAGAGCCATAAAAAATACCATCTTTGAAATTGTGATTACAGACAACAAGTTCCTTATGACACCTAGAGCATGATTGATGACTTCAGCTTCAGATGAAGTAACGTGATAAAAAATTCTGCTGTTCCTTTCACTTCACAAAACCCAGAGAATTGCCAAAGGAACAAGCTTTCCCCTTATTGGAAAGCAAAGCTTTCACTGAGGCAGGCATACACCAACTCAGGTTTAGGGCCTTTAAAAAATGTCTCCACACTTCTGTGCTGAAGTTGCAATGTAAGAAAAGGTGGTTCGAAGACTCAACATCCACCATGCAGAGACAGCACCTTAAGTCATTACAAATGAAACCTTTCTTTAGAAGCACTTCTTTGGTAAGAGTGTAAGACATTTCTCCCAGGCTACCACCCAAACAAACAACTTGACTTTTGAAGGAGCCACTGTCCCCCAAATGCCTGACTAGGAAAAGAAGCTTCCTGTTCTCCCACAATGTTATTATACATAGACTTAACAGAAAAGTCTCCTGTCTTGTTCCACTTCCACAATCTAGCATCTTGAGAAAGCAGGTCTATTTGTTGATTTTGTAGCAGGTTAAGTCTGCTACTGCCTTACTTTTCCATTGCTGTCATGTTTCCCTTAAATTGATATTGTAGCTCTTTAAATTGAAAACTAGACTATTACTAGATCTTCCATATAAAAATGCCAAGGCTAGGCGCAAATATATTACCCTTACTTTTCCATTGCTGTCATGTTTCCCTTAAATTGATATTGTAGCTCTTTAAATTGAAAACTAGACTATTACTAGATCTTCCATATAAAAATGCCAAGGCTAGGCGCAAATATATTACTTTTTGGTAATAAAATAAAATTTATTAAGACAGAAAAAAAAAAGAAGATACAAGAAGGGTGACCAGAAATCACCTGAAAGAAGCCTAACATGGAACAACACAACTTTACTTTAGACCACAAAAAAAATAGAGCTAAAAAACCTCACTGCATCCAGGATAACAAAACACCCAAGCCCAAACTCCCCTGGCATCCATTCTAACTGTAAAGTTAAATCCACCATTCGCAAGAAAATCCCTTAAAGCCCTCTAAAAAATTTGAATATCCTTGGAACTCAATTTACAATATAAAGTCTCAGAGCTATTAAACAGTATAAATTCTTTGCTCCTTTTGCTGATTCTCTTTGACTTCTTTACCTTCTTGATAAGCCCAATTCCAAAAAGCCCTCCTTTTAACCTGGCAAATATTTTCAAGGCCTTGACGGTTCAAACCTCTTTCTGATTTCTAAGTCTTCTTACTGTACTAGAAAATTCGTTAGAATCTCTTAATGTCTGAGAGCAATCACTGAATTCATTTTCATCAAATACTCTTTTCTAAATCTTTAAAGCGTCCTCCTCGTAAAATTTTCCCCACCCATGACAAGCAAACCCTGGGATCTACTGACCTCAATCTCTGTCTCCACTGCTTTTTCATCTTCTGTTTTGTCCCCACTCTCATGCCTTCCTTCTACTAGCTTTGTCCTATAGATCCATTTCTATTCTAAGCTTGAGTGCTTGTATCTCCCTGGTTCCCTCTATTCCTTCTTGAAAATATGCATCTTTCCTCTATCAAGCCCTACCAACTTCCTCACCCCATTCCCTTCTTGTCTAGTAAAAGCCCCTTGTCTCTCATCCACCACATATTCTTCTTCCACATCGGCCAACTTTTCCTCTTCTAAACCCATTGAGAAATCCCGTTTTTTCTTCTTGAGAATGCAAACTTTCCTCATCTTTTTCAACTGAAGAGGTTCCAACTCTTACCTGTTGATACCATCATATCTCTTGTGTACCTAGGTTATTGTCTTCATCACCTCCCAACGACATCTCTGGAGTCACACATTTACTTGTTTCAACAATTCCTCCAATTTCATTCCCATTCTTTGCTGAATGAAAGATCATCTTCTTTGCCTCTCCATCACAAGCATTATGGACATACTTGGTCGCAACCCATATGTAGCCATCACCTGAGCTCTCACTCTGTAACTTGTTAATGTGACCAGAGGGTTTTGAAGAAGGTGACAATTGACAATAAGTCCCATCTGCCATCCACCCCAAACTGGAGGCCACATGCATACTTTAACCTTCCACTAATCTCATCTCACCTCGCCTAAATATGTTGATCGATCGAGCTTCTACACACAATGGCCCATGCCCAATATTGATCATTTGATTATTAAAATTGTCATGTGACAAACCCTCATGGACCACCATCTGGCCCATTAATAATTTTACTACACATGCAACCACTCGCCAAAGCACGTGTGAGATCATGGTCAACTGAATTTCCCAACTGCCTTGGCTCAAGCTCACACCATGCATCTTTCCATTTTCCTTAAGCAACACACCCCACTACAAGGAGCATCAGAAGTCTGAACAAACATCTCAGTTGCAGGCACCTGTGTGAATTATTTTCCATGTACTGAATGAGAGGGACTTTGAAGCCTTCCATTTATGGTAATATGGCGCATTTCAACCTCCTTCCCCAGACTATGCTCTGATCTTTGGAAGATCATACACTTTCATTTGAATACACCAATCCGGAGTTACCACGTAAAGCAACCCATTCAAACTTTCCTTCCTGCTACCATCACTCCATAGAGAAGCTTCAATGGAGGTCACTAACCACATTCGAGCATACCTTCACTTTCCCAGGGATGCATTCAAGTCTTGCTCTGACTATCCTGATAGCAGCCAAATAGAGATCATCAAGAAAAACTTCTTCTGTTCGACACCTACAAACAGAGGCTAATGATTGAACTGTTTCTTTCTGCCACAAGTGAAATGGCAACCCCAGCACTGTAACCATCACTCCATCATCTGAGCAGATTTCCTAAGCATTTAAGAGCAGATACCATTTCAAAATCATCATTTGACCATCAAAAGTTTGGGTTGTTTCAGCTGCTAACTCCAAGGTGTCTTCATCAACATCTAACAGTGCTCTATGTCTGTCAAAAGGGGTGATTATAATATTGGTATTTTCAAATTAAAATGTCCAGAATATCCTCTCCTACCCTCATTCAATCTCACTTCTTGTTTGTTATAGATCATGAATTTTTCCTACCGTTTTTTTCTTTGCCTCTATCAACCACCAGCTTACCCATGCTGTTTCCAGTGGCTGAGATTATCTGTTTCTTTTCAACAGAAGTCACTATGACTGAAAGATCTCTTCTGTACTGTCACAACAGACAACCTGTTTTCATTATCTTTGCTTTGCAGAAACTCCTGAAGAGTTTGGGAGACCTGTCCCCAACCTGAGCTTCTCCTGCCTTCAGGCAAACACAGCAATTGTTAACCCCTTTGCCCAAAAAACTCATACAAAGATATGCACTTACCTTTTTGTTTACCTTTCTTTCACCCAATATCTTCTACTACCTTCATCTTTCAAATTCTTCTGGTCAAGATTTTCCCTTGCTGAAACAGCACATTGACCCAGTATTTGAACCAACGAATCTCTTCTCCAGTCAGTATTACAGCAGCCCTTGTCAACTCTGTAATCCTTAAAGTATTCAACCCCTTGATCGTCTATTCTATCTTCAGATAGCTTCTACATGTATATTATATTTGTATACATACAAAATCCTAGGCTAATCAAGAATGCAAAGGGCCTGCTGCAAATTATACAAAATATCGGTACTTATGCAGGACTATAGCATACTCGATCCCAGTACAAAACACTTTGCCGTACACCCTCATTGTATGCAGGGTTATAGTTTGCTTTTATATATTGGGATGCCATTTTTTTTTATTTTCCTGTGTACAATTCGTCTATTTCCTGAATTTAATCATGTGACATGTTGCCTCTGTTGCTTTTCAGGATTTTCCGAGTTATCGAGCAATTATCCATGCTATGCTGGAGCTAGTTTTGGCCATGATGCTAGCCCATCTATGTGGCCTGACATTCACAACTCAAGCAGAAATTTTACTAGCATGCATGGACAGAAGATTTATTTTGATCAGTCCAATGGTGCTGATATTATTACTCAAAAGCTTATAGATGCTAAGTTGGATCCCTATAGCATGGCCAGAGATAGCCTTTTTCCTGATGGGCACATCCAAATTGGGGAAGTTCCAAGGATATCTCAGGTCAGCCTTTTGCTTTCTAGTTATCCCTCATAGTGATTTTTATAGTTCTAATTGTATACATTAATATATAACATCTTGAATCAGAAAGTTCCATTTCCATGAACTTTTATATATTAGGTTTGATGTATGAATATTTCCTGTTATTCCCCATGTCTAGCTGCTTTCTTAGATGGGGTCTTCTTCCTTTGCTTCATTGTCTTTACTGGTAAAATCTTTTATATGGCAAGAAGCTACAAACCGAGGGCACTCCCATGAATGTATAGGAAGGCTTTCATGGTGATTAGTTATGCCCATTAAGAAGCATAGATATTATTTGACATGCATTGGGACATGAAAAATCACTTTGTATGTCTTGGTGGAGTGGTAGACATTATTATTTTTTAGGAGCATCATATGTTTTAGTACATTGCTCATGTCTTTCAGGAACATCAGAAAAATAGACTGCCTGGCTTGTAGAATGTCTCCCCTGTAACAAGAGTACTATAAATAATGCAAGTAATGTGTTTCAGGTGGAACAAGGGAATGATCTCCAACTATTACATCCTCAGTTTCAGAGTAACTCTGGGTCTCATATAATGGTTGCTGGTAATAACCAATTCTTAGCATTTCAAAATGATGCTCCAGCAGTTGGTCCATATAATGAAGAATTAGGAGAGCTAAAGAAACTTGACAGCTTTGGAAGATGGATGAATAAAGAAATTGGTGGGGACTGTGATGATTCCTTGATGGCATCAGACTCTGGTAATTACTGGAATACTCTTGATACTCAGAATGGAGACAAGGAAGTATCAAGTTTCTCACGCCATATTCAATTGGACATTGATTCACTTGGTCCTTTCCTTTCCCAAGAACAGCTGTTCAGCATTCACGATTTTTCACCAGATTGGGCTTATTCTGGGATTGAGACAAAGGTAATTTGTATTTTATTTTTTGATGACTTGGTTATCATATTCGTCACAAAGTGAAATTTTCATGTGTGTGTGTGGTCATTGTCTTCAATTGCTAATGATTTATAAATCGATACTTACAATGTGTTGATTTTACCTGCAAAAAGTTAATGGCTATCCTTTCAGGTTCTGATATCAGGTACATTCCTGAGTGACGCAAAGCACTTTACAAGTACAAAATGGTGCTGCATGTTTGGTGATGTTGAGGTTTCTGCTGAAGTTTTGACAGATAATGTCCTTCGATGTCAAGCACCACCACATGCTCCTGGACGTGTTCCATTTTATATCACCTGCAGTAATAGATTGGCCTGCAGTGAAGTACGGGAATTTGAATATCGTGAAAAGCCATTAGATGTTTCAGTAGCTATCAGAAGTGATCCAGAAGATGAGATGCGTCTTCAAATACGTTTTGCAAAAATGCTATATCTGGGATTAGAGAGAAAATGGTTGGATTGCTCTGTTGATAACTGTGATAAATGTAGACTGAAGAAAGATATATATTCAATGAGGACTGATGATGAGAAGGAATGGGGGCAGATTGAGAAGGCTTCACTGTCTTTTGATGGAAATCATGAAAATCCTAGAGATGTGTTGATCCAGAAGTTGTTGAAGGACAGATTGTATGAATGGCTAGTCTGCAAAGTTCATGAAGGTGGCAAAGGGCCACATATTTTGGATGATGACGGCCAAGGGGTCATTCATCTTGCGGCTGCTCTTGGTTATGAGTGGGCCATGGGTCCCATAGTTGCTGCTGGTGTAAGTCCTAGTTTTAGAGATGCACATGGAAGGACAGGACTTCATTGGGCAGCATACTTTGGGAGGTCAGATTGTTACCTTAAGCATTTTATTTCTCAAGTTCTGGTTGAATTTATCTGGATAGTGTTATACTTATTTTATAAGCGATCAAAGTATTCAATTGACATGCATGTATATCCTCTGCAACCCTGTTTAAAATCTGAATCATCTACTGACCTGTAAATGGGAGTGGGTCAAATCAAATGTTCCAACTGATGATTGACACAGTGACCTGTTGTATCATAATTAACATAATTTAGTACTAAAAGAAGCTCATAAAAAATATAGAATACCAAGCAAATGAGAATAAATCTATGTTAATGAAACAGAGAAATATCATAAATCTAATCTAAAGATGTTTTGTTGAGCTAAAATCCTGGATGACTATCAATCATGAAATCCTGGATCTCTAGAATTCAACAAATAAATAATTGATTCTTAAGAGTGCCAGGGTTAAAGTGACATATGCCACAAAAAACTCAAGAGTTAGGGTTTCGAAAGCAAACCTGAGCTAAAAATGGCATGCTAAATTTACTTTCTTTGGAAGAATAATTGGGGGTAGCAAGAAAAACCTATGAAGCTTTGAACAAAAAGATTAAACTGGAACTGATAAGAAATTATGAACTCAAAATGAATGAACCAAGGAAAAAAATACAGATATAATGCAAAGCAGTTTTTTTGGGTTGTAGAAAAAGGTGAAAATTATAGTCTACCCCACCTCACAAATTTTTATTTATTTTATTTTGCAAAACCCCTACTTATCAGCCACCTCCCCCCCCCCCACGGAATTGTGTCAGTTTCCCCCACCTGTCACTGTTACAACCAGTGACAATTTTGGGAGGTGGGGGAATCAATAATTTGCCCTAAAAAAGTGATATAAAGGAAAATATGGTTGCCATTAAGGGATTGTGGATTTGTTTGAATTAACTCTGTATGACTTGCTACTGTTTTGTCAATGTTCATGACTTCATGTTGTAATGAACAGCAAGATGAGACCAAAGAAAATGATAAGAGGGATCCCCCATTAAAAAAGTACCATGACTTGCCACTGTTTTGTCACTAACCAAATACTAGAAGCATGAGAAGAAACGAACTGCCTCTTGTACTTTGTCCACCATTAAAAAAAAACATAAAACCACCATGGGAGGAGCCATGAAACATCAGCAATAAGCAACCCAGCATCTTGGATATGTGCTTTAGTTGGGTAGATTGAGGATTTCAGCTGATGGTTAATTTGAAAAGAAATGTGCCCAAGTGGGAAAGGAAACGAAACTTGAAGTGGGCAATGGATTGTTGATTTAATGTTTAAAAAATGATGGATATTAAGAATGGTTTGAAGAATGAGGGGAAAAGGAATAACTAGGAGCTTACCTGTTTGCTGACCACTTTCTCTTCAGCATATGAACATAATCTTAACTTCCACATAGACGACTGCTGTTAATAAGGTCCATAAAAACTTGGTAGTTAATATCTCCTAAAACTCTCAGTTTTAAACATGTATTTGAACAGACATCCTTCTTGTACCATCATTTTTAACCCTGCCAAGTGTCTTGTGGATTTGTTATCAGGGAGGAAGCTGTTGTCAAACTTGTAAGATTGGGAGCAGCTCCAGGTGCAGTGGATGACCCAACTCCAAAATATCCTGGAGGGCGAACAGCTGCTGATTTGGCATCAAGTAGAGGGCACAAGGGAATCGCTGGATATTTAGCTGAAGCAGATTTGACTAGCCACCTTTCTTTGTTGACTCTTAGGGAAAGTGTTATGGACAGTGTCGCTGCCACTATTGCAGCAGAAAAGGCCATTGAGACAGCGAAGGAGCAGAGTGTGGTTCCTCTAGATGGAAGCAGGGAGGAACAGTGTTCCCTGAAAGGATCACTTGCTGCTGTTAGGAAATCAGCTCAAGCAGCTGCTCTCATTCAAGCTGCATTCCGTGCCAGATCATTCAAACAGAGGCAGTTAACCAAGAGTAATGAAAATTCTGAGATTCCAACTGATCTAGTTGCCCTTTCCTCCTTGAAAAACAAGCCCCAAAAGATCGGCCATTATAGTGATTATTTGCATTCTGCGGCTGTAAAAATCCAGCAAAAATATCGTGGTTGGAAGGGGCGTAAAGAGTATTTAAAGATACGCAACAGAATTGTAAAAATTCAGGTGAGGAATTGTATTTAGTTCTTTTCCGTCCTTTTGTTAAGTTATGTGCTTCATATTGGATTCAATGATAAATTTCTGAGTACTTAGAATTTACAGGTTTCATATTTAATTTACCAAACTGCAAAAAGAGATTTAGTTCCATAGTTTAGTTTATGTATTTGGGTACGTTATATAAAAATAAGGGGGCCTTGATTCAATAATTGGCCTGAAATGATATTGCTTTTAATCATTTAGTCAATATCTTGTTGGATTGATGCCAATTTAAGGTAGATATGGGATAAAATAATGTGGACTTGAAACTTATGTATTAAAGTACCTCATCATGTGTGAATCTGCAAGTCAAATTGAAATCCAAAATAAATTGTATTCTATATTTATCTTAACCTTAAATTCTTCAGGTTGCAATTTGAATTTGTTAGTTTTCTATGTAGCCCTGGTAGCTTAGACCTGAGAACATACTGAGATTGAAGCACTATTGAAACTGTAATTGTGATTCCCCATAGTGGGGTTTTGGAAAGAAAAAGACTGATGGAAGGCTGGCCAGTGATGCAGCAGTTTACTGGGGTGCTTGACATGTTGCCATCTGTAGACCATTCTCTATACAAACTAAAATTTTTGGTCTTAAGAAAAATGTGTTTCCTAGATGTAAGTATTAAATCAAATGAAATCAAACATAAAAATAATTATAGTTAAAAGCAGGATATTTGGGAAGGGAACTTTTTTGCTGCAGCATGGAGAACCCAGGATGTTCAGCAGTAGAGGGAGTCTTCAGAAATTGGGAAAGAAATTTCTTATCCTTGTACTCCAGGTCTGTTAGCTTTGGTGACTCAACCAGGACAGAAAATATGGGCAGTTCTAGAATGTCTAAGGTTGGCAAGATCTCAAATTACAGAGGAATAATGATAAAGGGCTAAATTCAGAACAGAGAACATGTTATGGGCATTTACCAATATCAGCCAACAGTGTTGCTGATGGGCTAGCAAAACAAGGGATGAATAGAAGTCAGTTGTGCTGGGCTTTAGGCCCCCAGGCTAGCTGCCTATTATGGCTGCTTGGTATCGCTGAAGATCCCCAAGTTTTGAAAACAGATTCTCCTTACAAGCCTACACTACGATATAGCTGAAACACCCTAAGGTTTGAGGTGAAGTATGACATGCTCATTAAGCAACACCTTATATATAAGGCTTTTGCGATTTGTGCATATACATAATTACATACTAAAGAGTGTACACTTTTTATGCCTTGTGAGGTGCAACCTCATGAACATGCAAATTGCAAAGTGGTTGTTAAGAAAATATACAGACCTTGCTATCTAATGGTTGAAAGCATGTTTTGTTTTGCTTGACTTTCAATATCAACTGGGATTAATGCAAGTTCATGCTAGTGGGACCTATAATAGAGCACAAAAGATATATATTTAGTTTTATATGGTATAAATTTGCCATCCCTTAACAATTCTTGGTTCTTGTTGCAATACGGTACTTGGTCATACCAAGTACCACATTTCTAGGTTTTTCCATTTATTGATTAATTAAGTGAATGTTTAAACCTGTATACCTTAGCTTAAAAGACTATATTTCTTCTATCTTTTAACACAATAAAGACCCATATTAGCCTCTATCTTGGTATGCATGTGGTACAAGATATTGCATCATTAGTTCTGTGGTGCAATTTTCATGATGCCTATTGCACCATCAATAATTTTCGTCACTATAGGCATTTTCATCAATTTTCTTTTGAGCAAGATAAATAGATAGTTTGTTTTAATAAATTGTTGCAAAAATTAGAAGCTTTGGAAATATCAGAAGTTTCATAAATTTTAGCATTATTTGTATTCCAAATATGGATACTTGGCCCAAAAGCTAAAGGTTAAAGCATGTTATTAGCATACTAGACACTTGCCTTTATCAGCGTTTGTATTCTGCATTTCCATAACGGTTACTTGAGGAGCTGCTGTCTATCCATATCCCTGTACTTGTTGGGTGTCAACCAGTGCATAACAAATACTTTTGAGGTGCTCTTCTGTAACTAGAAATGACACTATGTATTAAAATGCTGTAGACTATATTTCAATTTTTCATATACACATCTCATTGGCCAATATTTTGGGATTTAGAGTTTCTGCTGCCAGGCCTCATAGTTAGTGCAGGAATGATTCTCCCTCAACATTTTAGAATGTGCAACTTTATCTTTGAAATACAATAACAATCATACATTTTTTCCTTTTTGTGATAGTGCATCAATTGGAATCTCTGCCTTAACCATCCTTTTGATCCTATCATCAAGTATTCTTCAGAAATATGCTTGCTCACAACGCATGCTTTTCTATCGTATATTTTGGACAAGATGCACTTACATAATATTATAATTTGATGTTCTAAACTTTTATGCTATCATATATGCTATAACTTATTGGGAAATGCTTGTTATATTCATTTTTCTGCTTTGTTTCCTTTTCAGGCACATGTTAGGGGACATCAAGTGCGGAAGCAGTACAAAAAGGTTATATGGTCTGTCAGTATTGTGGAAAAGGCTATATTACGGTGGAGGCGAAAAGGAACTGGACTGCGCGGGTTCCGCGCTGAAAAAGCAATTGGAAATGTAGAAACTGACCTCGGGAAGTCTGATGAGTATGAGTTTCTCCGCCTTGGTCGGAAACAGAAAGTTGCGGGGGTGGAGAAAGCTCTTGCAAGAGTTCAATCTATGGTTCGTTACCCGGAGGCTCGTGATCAGTATATGAGACTGGTCACAAAATCTCAAAACTTAGAGGTAAATTTGCATTTTGTGTAGTAGTAGTTGGATATATGCCTATAATTTGACACAGATACTTGATGATGGTAGCTGTCACATATTTCTTTTCCTGACATCTTTTTGTTGATGAGTAGCTGATCAAGAAACAAGTTCCCATCCTCAGGACTCTACTATTTCCTCTTAATGAAGAATGCTAAGGTAGACTATAGAGAGAGGTCTCCAACAGAGACATTACTAGGGGTCCAACTCATGTTAGCCCAACTTGGCATTTTATACAGCTTCCGATTTGGGCGGCTGGGCCCATTCAAAATATGACCAAAAACGCTACCGAAGCCCACCCAAGTTGCACAGCCTTAACCCTCAGCTTTTTGGGATTGGCTATAGGAATGCTGGCTTGTCATTGTGCTCTATCACGGGCCTTTTTTTCTGCCAAATTGCAAGTTCTTAGATATTTCCTTACAACTTCTAGGCATGTTTCTTTGGTGTTCCCCTTGCTCTTTTTGAGCCTTCTACTTGCACCGAAGTCCCTGTCTCATTGGCAAATATGGTGAATTGTGTGGATTTGTTTGCTGGCCTGTTAGCTATATTGTGGATAATTATTTGACGAAGCACTACATTTGGTATTTTCTATGGTTGGGTTTAATTTTCTCAGACCAAAAATCCGGCACATTATCAAGTTTTCAACTGGTAAAGTCCTTTCATATGGTGTAATATCAGATAAGCTCAAATTGTAAGGGATCACAGCTGGGCGTTCTTGTATAAAAGCCTAAGGATTGTTTCTTTCGTGAAGCCACAGACTCGTATACATCATTTATTTTGTACTCGATAAAAACTATTTGTCTTGTATACTACAGGGATTGTTCAAGATTTTTAGTTCTGAGCATTACTGGAACGAACTTAATATCTCCTAAATACAACAGTGATATGTGTGATGAGGAGTTCTAAGGATTATATTCTTTCTGATTTCCTTGTTAATGAGAAAGTATTATACGTTCCCTTTTTTTATGTATAGCGAACATTTTTTTTCATCTATGGTTGTAGATCTATTGAAAATTATCTAATTTTTGTTTTCGTTTTCCATTACAGATGAGAGATAAAGGGAGCAGCACGTCAAACCAAGTTCAAACTTCAGAAAAGAGTACAAATGAGGATTTACTTGCACATATGACGGATTAAATGTTGACAGCCAACCAAATTAGCGTAGATATTTTCCCAGCAAACTAAAATTCCAGGCTATTCAACCGACGCCTCTCTCAGTTCGATTGTAAGTATTGTACATGTATGACAGATGACGTGCGATTTTCCTTGTAAGAGAACGGGTTGTTGGAAATGAACGACTCAATGACTGCAGAGACAACCAGATAGGCGCTATAAATTGTTGTACGGTTGTACCAACTACTAAGTTATGTATCTCGCCCATGTCTTGGGCATTTTATTTTATACACTTTGACGAGATAGAGCTGTAGTTAGTTGCTTTAGTGATAATGCGATGCTCTCCTGTAACCAGTAAAGCTTAACCATATAGCAATTTGAAAGAAAATTCGTCTTTCTTTTCTGGTTAACAAATGATGGATGCATCACGGGAATTGTAGAATATATTATATATTCCTTGTGTTAAATAGTAAGAGATCTGGTTCTGGTAGACAACGCCAATTCTTTGTTGACGTGACGTAGAGGATATGTTGATTCAGGTCTCGAGGGCTGAAAACTTGTTAATTATAACCACATATGTGGTTAAAATGGTGGAATATGTTATATGTCTCATAATTGACATCAAATTGCACCTTAGAAACAGCAATTAAATGGATGTGAACGTATTTTACTTTGTGATTCAAAAGCAGAGGGTGTTATTTAACGTGAATGCTTTTGTTTTTCCCGCATCTAAAATTGCCATATCAGGATGAAACTAGAAATATACATGGCTGATTTGACTTACATGTATGAATTTTCACAATTATTTCGAGTAAAATTATAGGAAATCATGAAAGAGCCACATAATCTTCTCTATCTTATAAGTTATAACATATTAGAAGTTTAGAACTAGAAGAGACCCCCTTTTTTTGGCAAAAATATATTAGAAGAGACCCATGCGAACATGCTGGTATTAAAAGATGCCCATGTATTATCAGGACTACCTGATAGCAAATAGCAAAAACCATGATCACCCTAACCCAACTAGGTTCGGCTTCAGTCAGGGCAAAGCCCATCCGAACAGCTTTTACTGCCTTGTATTGAGAATATCTCAGTACTGATGTTTTTCATTTCATAGAGAGATATTCCCAATGCAAGGTTGGGAAGGTTGGGAAAGGCTGTTAGATCGGTGTGGGCACAGGTTTGCCCTGATGGAAGCCGATCTCAACCCGACTACCTTAATCCAGGACACATCAAAGTTGATGACAACTGTACTGAGACTTAACGCAGAGGTCCAGTGTCTCCTAACCAAAGACCAATGGTTCAACTCATCAGATTCAAGTGTTTATTGGATGAAAACCCTTTACGGAATGTATCAGTGGAAGATGATAAAACCATTGGAGAAAAGTTTAGGGTATGTCTACCTAAACAGCAACACATTCAAGGCAACTTACACACAAGACAGAAATTAATAAGAAGTTTTAAATTTTCTAGTTAGGTGGTGCTAATAATAAATTCCATAGCAGATCTTTAAAGAGGCAATACATACACAAACACTATTGGTTATTGGATGGATATAAGAAAGAAAGCAAGGATATAACATAGATCTCAACTGAGATGGCTATAGACTTCTGCACATAACGTGGGGAGAGAGAGAGATTAAGATGGAGAGAGCTGTTACTACTAAGGTTGTGACCACCCTTGCAATCCTTCTTTTGGCTTTTGCATCGAGTTCAGAAGGAGGAAGAGGCCTGAGGAACAAGGTGATGATGAAGAAGGTGGTTGATGACCCACAAAACTTCTTTGGAGGTGGTTTTGCAGGGTCCTTTCCTAGCCCTGGTCTGGGTTTTGGCTTTGGTTTTGGACCTTCGGGCTTTTGTGCGAGGCCAGGCTTCGGTTGTGTCCCAGTTGGACCCTTCAATGCTGGCAGCTCTCTTAGAGGACGCTCACCCTGACCTGATGACACTTCAACACTCTTTCTTTCGGATTGGGTTTGTCTAAATTAAATGTTCTTTTGGCTTTGCTTAGTCGTTTGTTTGTTTAGTGTGTCTGCATCTAAATATCTAATCATCTACGTATGTGCTTCTGGATGTTCCTTTTTTTTGTTATCTGAACGTGCTTCTGGATGTTTATGTTTACGACGGTGTCTCCTCCTCGTGCATATTTTTATCGTAGCTGTGGTGCTGTCACTAGCTCACTATATGATGATGATGTAGTGTGTTCGGCGTCCAACCCTAATTACAAACTTTGTCTCTGTACCTTTACCTCTTACATGCTCATTTCTCTGTTTCTCTCTATGTGTGTGTGAGACAGCCATCATTTTAGGGGTTTTTAGGCCATAAAAATGAACGAAGCTGAATAGACAGCCATCATTTCTTCCGGATTATTTGCAATGGCGCTGATTTTAGATTTCAGCTATAGTACAGGCAACTAATTGAGGATTTTCTATTAAAGTATAGGCAACTGATTTTAGATTTGCAATGGCAACTAATTGAGGATTTCCTACGTCTACTAATGAATAAATAAAATGATAGAAATACCCATCAAGTGTGCGGAAGCTAATGACTTGACACAACCCAAACTACAGGATACTAATCCGAAATTTTCATTGTCTGGCTATTTACTATATGTAACAGAGCCTTACTCCGTGCATTTATAATTAACAAAGATAATCAAGAAGGAACATGAAAATTTTGGATTCCAAAATCACTTGCCACGTGTACAAAATAAGCTCATCTTTATAAATGACAATATTGGAGTTATAACAACTAACCAATATTAATTGTGAAAAATAGAAAATGGAGGTACGGCTGATATGAAATGTGAGATTACACATGCTTCCCAATCCAATGGGTCCGCTCACGGTTGTTCTGGATCAGTACCCTATCAATAAACAAGTAATATATCTATCCATATCCACACCAAAGTACTAATGCAAATTACAAAGAGCGAAGTGGAACATTTGGCTCCATTACTTCGTTTAGTGCAGCAACCCTTTTAAAGCAGACCTGTTTAAGAGAGAGAGAGAGAGAGAGAGAGAGAGAGAGAGATGAAATGCAGATTTTCTTCTTTTCTCATCATATAATCGTAAAACCATACAAATTATATATGGTAAAAGAAGCGAATTGATGCCCCTAAAACAAATAATTGAAACAAGGCTAACGGATTTGGCCTCACTCCCCCGCCCGTGGCATTGATTCCACCTGCAAAATAAAGCAAGTTTAGGGAATTAGATTGATTATACTTGATAATTCGACATTACTTAGCAATACCCTTCAGTTCAGACAACGAATATGGCACTTAAAAGAAAGAAAGAAAGAAAGAAATCTTACTGCATTCTCTGGTGGAATTGGCAGTGGTTGAGCATAAGCACAAAGGAACCTCGGTCTCTGTATCGAACCCGCAAGTGCTGCCTGATCGCTGACAGCGTTGGCATCCTGTATCAGCAACAGTGTAAGAGAGCTTCATCCCATAAGACCAGTCCAACGGCCCTACACCCCTTAGGTTGTCTGTGTTGTATACACTGGTATAATGAGAGCAGTCCAGTATATTCATGCTCATCAACCTCACCGTGCTGTAACTGGTGAAGCAACACGGCGGATACCCGTTGGAAAGCATGCGGAACATTCGAAATGAAGTGCAGGCGTCGTAAAGCTCGTTGCAGGAGTGTCCAGAGAAGTTGAAACACAGGGAGCGATAGTGATTGAGCACCGGAGAGTCGACCGAGCAATTGACGAGTGCAAAGATGGTGTCCGACGAAGGCGGTATCACAACTGATTGGATTTCAGACATGACCAGGTCATGGTGTGTCTGTAGAACGGTACAAGTGGACATGGCTGGATCGTAGATCACCATCGTCTTCTTCTCGTAATCGATGGATCGGACTCTGTAGCTCCCTGAAGGGGTTAGAAAGAACAAGCCTGCCCCACTGCAGTTTAACATCTTCCGGTACTGGGGTGCACCGCATCCGTCGTCGATCCCAAATGGGTAGTCGACGGCGATGCCTCCGCATAGGTTCCGGCAGGCGGGGAGGAGACTCCGGACTGGTCCAGCAAGGTACAGAGCTGAGATGAGCAGCTCTATAACGAATGCAAACATTAGGGATGTCTCCATTATTCATTCTACTTTGTCGTTGGATCACTAGTCATGAACTGATTAATTAAAATAAAGATGCCAACAACCTTTTTTTCTTTTGGGTAATGAACGTAGAAGAGAACTAACTACACGAGGAAAGGAATAAAGAGATGAGCTAAATTTATTAATTTATTTCTCTGTCTAAAGCTATTACTTGACTCGAACATCTGTGATCGAAAGGTTCGTGTTGGCTACTTCTTACATTGGATGCTAAGACGACCTTTATCGATTTATGCCTTTACCAGGTTCTAATTAACTTGTAAATGAAATGAATTCATTGGGAACAAAGGGAGATGCCTCCTATCTTTACAGGCTCTCCATAGATTATATTCCTCCACAAGGACCCATTAACCCAACAATCGAGATATTTGGACCCATTAGCCCGACTATCCAGATACCCAAAAGACAATTACAAAAAAAAAAAAGGTGAGATCTTGAGTTCTTGAGTCTTGATACCGGTAACAAGTAAAACTCAGAACAAACATGCAGGGTCCATTAGTGCACCAGTATTCATATTTATATAGTTCACATCCAAACACAGTCTAATAATTAACCTATACCCTATTGGCATACATATAAATATATGATAGGCAGAGATAGAGATGTATCAGAATCAGACGTTGGTAAAACGGAGATATTCCTTCTTGGAGGGGAGATCTGCGATCTTATAACCCTGAGGGAACATCTGCTTGGCCTGTTCATTGGACACGGTGGGTGAAATCACGACGGGATCCCCCTGCTTCCAATTCGCCGGAGTCGCCACCTTATGCTTCGCTGCCTTCTGCAGGGAGTCCACCACCCTCAGTATCTCCTCCATGTTACGCCCAGTGCTGGCTGGGTATAGGAAGCTCAGCTTTACTTCCTTATCTCCGCCCACGATGTGCAGCGCTCGGGATGGCACAGGGTTTCCTGTGGAGTCCTTCTCATCTGGATCCACCATGTTCAGATGTTTGATGATCTCCCTGTTGGGATCAGCAACGATCGGGTAGTTCACCTTGCACCCAGGCTACAGCATCAGCATGCAAACAAACAAGAACTCAACACCATCAGAAAATTAATATTTTAGGCTCTGTAGCTTCTCCCTCCCCTCTCTTTATAAAGTAAACAAAGCTGTAGCTCACAGTGTAGGCTTCAATGTCCTTGATCCAGTCGTTGTGGGACTGGATGTCATCGCAAGAGAGGCCCAGTAGCTTCACTCCTCGCTTGCTAAATTCCTCTTCGTAGGCTGCCATCTTACCCAACTCCGTCGTGCATACCGGAGTGAAGTCCCCTATCGACCCAAGTCAACAACTTTCGCATAAGCAACTGGGAATTCCTTAACAAAATCAACGTTTTCCCAATACAGGAAATTTTAAAACTGATTAATTAATTAACCAATACCAACCTGGGTGAGAGAAGATAATGGCCCAGCCATCTCCTACGTAGTCGTGAAGCTTGAATTTTCCTTTTGTGGTTTCGACTTCCAGGTTTGGAAGAGTGTCGCCGATCGTCAGTCCAGGCATTTTCAGTAACAGAACAAAGCGTTAGTGATCGGAACGTGGGAGGAAGGTGTTGGTTTCTAACTTTCTGGTGCCCTGAAAACCGCAAGAATGAGAGTTCTCTAGCAGTAAAGGGGATTAAAATAGGATTTCCAACTTCATGCATGTATGAAACGTGGCAGTCATACTTGTTAGGGGCCTACTCTGTCTTTTCCCCACATGTAATCGCTACTCCTTGGCTTTCTTACACGTGTGCTACTTAAACTTGTCGATAACGTCCCAAATTCAAACTTCCCAAACGAGGCCTTATGTCCACCCATGTGATGGTGAGTTATTCAAATAGGGCCCGTTTGGTTTGGGGGAATAGAGGTCTTGGATTGAAATGGGACATTGCGATTCCAACTGGGTGGAATCTAAATTTTATTATCATCCCATTTGATTCCCATCCCTCCTTGGACAATGAAATATGGAAATACACCATTCTGGTTCCAATTCCAAATATTGTTTTAATTGATTGTCTACAACGTAAATGAAGTAAAATAAAACCCAAAAATTGCATTACAAATAGAGAGAGCCCAACGATCTCACAGTGAGTTAGATGGTGTTCAGAAGTATAGTGAATCCATTCCAAATCATACCATACCATACCACTTTAATGTGTCTAATTATGGTGTGGTGTTTAATTAAAATCCACTATCTCATGCTGTGGATAGGGCTGTAATCGTATCGGATTCAAATTGGATACATCAAAATTTGCATCCAATCCGACTGTTAAGAAATTATATCTGAATTCGATCGAATTTAAAGACTTGAATTTGAATTTGAATTTGAATATTAAAATGTTTATAATTTTAAATATAAATTGTATAAAATTTATATATTAAAAATGATAAATAATATAGTATAATCACATTCAGATTTTAATCATATCGAATGGATCACATCCAAATTCGATTAGTAATTGGATGTAGATTGTAACGTCTGAATCCGATTCAATTACATAAATATATCATCTGAATCCAAGATAATTGGATTGGATGTCAGATCGGGTTTCAGATTTTCGGGTACCATTGACAAGCCTAGGTGTGGACTACACCACACCACAAAATACTGGTCACACCATTATCTTGTGATCACAACCACACAATAGGCCCCTCTCCCTATCCAATACTTTGCATGTATATTAATTGGTATTAAAAGTAGGAATTTATTTTTTATGCTTTTACTAATTTTAATACTTATAGATTAATTATTTATAATTCTTTTATGTGAGTGTTTTATATTTTTATATTAATTTTAATTTTCTAGTCATTATTGATTTTTTGAATTCATCCATTAATTTTTTATTGATTCATATTACCTATAGCTAAATTGATCATGTGTTAAATTAATTTGTATTTTTGTTTAAAAAACAAAAAAAAAATATTACTCTTGATCAGCATCATAGATTATCTCACATTGTGTATACGAGATATATAGAATCAAAACACAAGGTGTGGCCTGAAACACACTATACCCTATAGAATGCATAAATGGATGTGGTGTGGTTCATTCTACTTATTTTTGTCCACATTGCAAAACACTTATTTTGCCTGTGGTGTGGTTAAAAATACATCACCCAATTTCTTATCTACATTACATAATACCCCATTAATTTCTTTCTCTTTCTCTTTCTCTGATTAATTATGTTTGATATTACATATGGACCACAATGAATGGAATACTAACCTAATTTAAATTTGAATTTGATCCATTTATATCGAATCCAAATATCCACTTGAATTTATATGAATTAAATATCCACTCAACAAAAGCAATCTGATTATTAATTGGATTGTCTTAGCTAGGCCGCCCTGATTTGATCCCCATATGATCCCAATCATTCAAAAATCATAAGGTTTTGCATTATACATATTTGTATTTGTACTCTTTCCAAAATAGTCTTATAAACAAGTAGAGGCTCAATTTGGAAAAATTGTAAATATAAATATTTTTCCTGCTAAATACTAAATACTAAAACCATGATTTTGAAAACGAAGACGAGTTAAAAGGTAAACCTAAATTTGCCTTTTCGATGTATATGAGAAATAAAATCCTAACAGCTTGCTATCATTTTCTTTTCGACGGAAAACACAGACTAGGCAGTGGCAGTTGAAAATGTTGGGATCTCCCGTCTTATTCAACCTCAATGGTGTCCTGGTGGATGCAAAAAATAGGCAAATGACAATCTCTTTTAATGGCGCCATGGGAGATGCTCTTGCATCAGTTACTTCCTCTTCTTTGCTTTTAAATCACGGTATGAGCTTGCATTTAAATCAAGTTTGTGCAGCTCAAACTTCAAATCAAAGAAAAAATAAGTTTAGATTTAGAGATTTATTAGCATTTTCACTGCCTTGAAAAGTTAAAACCAAACATGCTTTTTCTTTGTCTAAACTTCAACTCTACCTCTCACCCCTTATATCTTTCCCTAGTACAAGTATAAATACATACAAAATAATATAAAATACAAGGTTTTGCATTCTATATATTTATATTTATACTCTCTCCAAATTGAGCTGAAGCTCTCAATATGTAAGATTTGTGTATTAAGAGTATCAATATTTTGAACCATGACTTGTATATATTTCAATGACAATTTGTAGCCATAACTTACAGATTTCCAGCCATTCCTAAAAGCTTTTTAATTTAATGACTTCTTCAATGCAGACAATTCGATCAAAGCTTAAGCCCTCCCATTCCCACATGGGGCCTATATCTTCTCCTTTTGTGATCAGACAGAGCAGAGCAGGCCTTGTTCATTGGTTCATTTTCCATATTTCGGTTCAACCTTAAAAACTTCAATAGCAGTCATGAAAATTATCACTAGGTTTGACAGGAAATTTAAGTGGTTGTTTGGCACACGAGTGTTTCACAAACTTTCAGTTTTACAAGTGGGTTCCATTTGTAAGCCTTTCTTTTCATATATTTTTTTATGTTTTTTTTCTTTTTTATTAAGATAATTGATTCAATCTCAATGTAGAAGACAATGAATAATATCTTCCTTTAAAAATATTTTTTATATTTTCAACAAATTACTAATGATCGATTAACAACAGAGACCGATTTAACACTTTTTTTTTAAATTTAAATACTATAATGATACATTTGAAAATTAAGGTACTAACTTATATTTACCCAAATTTTATAATACTAAAGTGCAATTTTCCCTTAAAATCACCACTACGTCACGAAAGCACAAGTCAAGGATGAGCGTGAACTCACCGCGCGTTTCCAACGAAAACATATTCTCATGTCCTTATACATGTTAAATTCTCTTTTTTTTTGTTTTCTTCACACCACACAAAATTACACCAATAAAAGGACAAGGCTGCATGTCGTATACATAGTGTCACATTATGAAGAGTAGTGTCTCCCTCTCACATATATCACATATCGCAAGAAATCCAAAGCGGTTCATCAAATTGACCCATGAGCCTATCTCCCACCACGGTCTCCACCGACAGTCGATCCATATCCATATCCATCTCCCCTGTCGTTGAATTCCAGGTTGGGGTTCCATTCTCATACCCGTTCCACGTTAACCTCTTTAACCCACTTCCATCCAATCTCACCACGTATAAATCACCGTATGGCTGAAATTGATTTGGCATGGACACCGGCTCTGTCAATACACCACCCAAATTGGCCGTAAATACCAGCCACAAGGAATCCGGGCTGAAGCATACGTGATTGATCCTCTCCCTCTCTGCCTCTGCTGATCCCTCCACCCCTGCCACATAGACTCGTCGGAGGTCCGTTCCATCCGGACGAATAAGGTATATGCTGAAAGCCTCCACGTTGCTGGGATTGTGTCGGTTGGACGAGAAGACTATCAGTTTCCCGTCCGGCGACCAGTTGGGCATTGTATCAATCCAAGGACCGTCAGTTAATTGACGGATCCCTCCGTTAAATTCCCCGTCAACAGCATCCATTATGTACAGATTTTTATGGCCGGATCTCCCAGACCTGAACACTACGAACTTGCCGTCAGGTGAACACGACGGAAATGCATTGTTGCCCGTTTCCTCTTTTGTTAGAATTTTCACTTCAGCGGGAATATCTTCCCGATCATCCATATCTTTTGGATTGAAGGTTACTCGCGCAATCTGGACCGTTGATTTAACGGACTCGAATATCGGTCCCACCGAGGAGTAGATGACGTTCTTCTCCGTCCGATTCCACGAGGTGTAAAACGCGGTTCGGTCTTTTAAAATGCTCCATCTCCTGGAGCCGTCCGATCTCACTATCTTAATGCCAGCATTCGCATCGAAGTCGTGGTTGAACGCGATCAAGTCGCCATCGGGAGAACACGAAGGGAATGATCCGTTAAGCCGGAGCATCCTCAGTTCCTTCACCGGAGAAGTTACAAGTTCGAGATGCGGAACGATTGAGTCTCCTGAAGCCGATTTACCTCGGAATCGGTGGTATCCGAGAAAACCTGATTTCGGGGAGAAAAAAGGATTATAGTGGTGAAATTTTGGGTTTAGAGTCTCCGTTACCCTGCAAAACGACTCTAGCTCTAGATCAAATATCTCGATGTGCCTAAAGCTATTCTCTCGCCGCCGAGTCGCAACAGCGATTCGTTTGCCGTCATGCGATGCCGCTGGAGTAAATGCGTGGAGTCCCGGTGGGGTAACCCGACGAGGAGCTTCACATACACCGGAAAGCTGGAAATTTTCTGGAAGATCTACTCGGAAAATGCTCCACCATCCATCGTCGGCTTGGCGGTGGAAGAAGATCGTTGAGTCGCCGGACCACGTGGGCCATCCACCGCGCTTACATATAGTGGTACGCTGGGTAGGATCGGATTCCGGGAAAACTACGATATCCGTATCAAGTTCATGAAATTCGCCGCCCCATGGACGGAATCCGTACGACGCGACGGCGATAAATTTTCCGCTCTGCGATATAGAAGGACTGTAATCAACGGCTTTATAAGGAGTTAGTCGCTCGATTTTTCCATGATCAAGCAGCGTTGAGTACAGGGCTGACCAGCTTTTCAAGTGTTTATCGGCCGGTTCGTGAGCCGAGACAAAGTATAATCGGCCGTCTTTCACGATGGGGCGATCGTGGAAGAGGCTGTCAGCCACAGAGGGGAGTTGCTTCGGCTTTGGAGAGTTTGCTTGGTTCAAATAGACCCGAGCATAGCCAGTCCTCTCCGATACATACACGAGAGTCTCGTCTTCGTCAACAAACTGACCATTAAAATTGACGGAGATACCGTCTGTTAAGCGATGCTCCTTCCACGAAGTTGTGGCAGCTATGATTGATGGGAGAGAGACTGAAAAGATGTCGAATCCATAGTAGGGTCTGCCGACGGAGGTGAAGATGATGGTTCCTTTGGGATTCATTGCCGATGTCCGATGAGTGAGGTGTTGATTTTGTAGTCTCGATCTATAAGGCTGAAGTGAACGAAGAAGTAAGAACTGAACTGAAAAGCCTTTGAAAAGAAGTTCTTCAGCTTTCACTCTTTTAATAGTGTTGCAAAAGCGTGGTAGGCAAGGCAGGACCAAGACGTATGAAGTGACGTGGTGTTATTATCTTCTGCTTGACACATTTCCAGACTTCCAACCACAGCCGTGAGCCGGCACGCCCACTTCCGATCTATCTTTTAACCAGAGAACGCGACAGCATGGTAGGATTACTATGTATTGAGAAGTAATTCTATATATAGATATGCTTGTAACCTAAAATCCAAATGGGGATGTAGCTCACATGGTAGAGCGCTCGCTTTGCATGCGAGAGGTACGGGGTTCGATCCCCCGCATCTCCACATTTTTTCTCTTTCTATAATCTATGGAATGACCAGTTGACCATATTCACCCACCTCACGTTACGCGAGATGTTAACACACGTTTGGTGATAGTTCGGATCTGCTGACCATGTTCACTTAGCCGCAAACAATACAATGACAAATCCAAACAATACCATGTTCACCTAGTCACCTTGGGTCACCCAACTAGACCTAGGCCTAAGTAGCTCAGTCGTATGCATCAATGTCCATGTGCCACGTAGTCTCTTTTTATAAGTAAGCTAGTTGTCTCCGATTTTCTCGGGATCACGGCATACGTCAACGGATTCTATCTTTTCTCCACCCGATTCGGACGGACTTGGATAAGCTTTATCAGTTTATACAGAGTCCATCTTCGGGTGCGAAATTAACACTGGACTAGATGGGTTGATAATCTCGGACACACATCGTGAGGCCCATGGCAACTTGCTTATATAAAGGCCTCGCCTCCAGCCTCACAAGGTACCTGCGACTTAGCTCTCGAATTCTATTGCAATTAAGCTCTCAGTGCTCTCAAATCTCTACACCGCTAACTTAAGCATCGGAGTGCCCACACCAGTTAAACACCTCGGACATTCTGATAGCCTTGTTTTGTAGCTCGACCAAGCAACATCATCAGCCCGACGTCTGAATTGCCCTCCAGTAGGGAGCTACCAAATCGCACTACATCAATAATCATCAATAGAAGGAATTCATCACGTCTGATCCCCACAGGCACTCCACATGCAACAAAAGAGGTTCATGTATGGTTTGGATGTGTTGTAGGGCACAAATATGATCTCCAACAAAAGAGGTTAATGTAAATACTTACATGATCAAACTATCCTTAAGGGAGTGTTTCTTTTTCGAATCTCAAGATGGGGAAAGTTGGTCAATGGGATTTTGATTTCTATTGACCAAGAAACCCATGTTATTTTATCATATTTATGTGGGGACAAGGGAAAGTTTATTTTCTTGGATACCACTAGGTGGGTAAATAACTTTCCCACCTGGAGGGAAAGTTGCCAACACTTAAATGGGACAAAAATGTCCATTTTAATAAGGCTCATTTCAGAAGGAGTACAAACACAAATATGTATTATACAAATACATACAAAATACAAGGTTTTGCACTCTACATATTTGTATGTGCACTCCTTCCAAATGAAGCCTAATGGATTTTTATGGCTAAAATGGTCATTGCCTTATTTACATGAAAATAAAAGAACATGGGTAAAAGTACTTACCCGAGTAAGTCTTTCCCGAGAAACACTTACCTGAGTAAATAACTTACCAAAAAGCAAGGCCTAAATGGCCCGCCAATCTTAAGCTTTGTTTTTTGGTATATTGATTGCCTGTTGTTTATTTTTAGATTCTCAAATGATATTTTACCACTTATCCAAGGACCAAGAGGACCACAACCTATGTGTCTACAACAATCATCATTTCGTTGTTTTGTAACACTTTGCATATCGCAATATTGTTAATGGTGGTGGTTGCTACGATGGCACACTCTTGAGCTTCAATTTCCAGTGTAGACATTGTTGTTACCGATAAAACTAACAAGTTTATTCTAAGGGGGTGCTCTTTTTTCGGATTTTGAGAGTGGGGAAAGTTGGTCAATCCCATTGACCAAGAATCCCATGTTCTTTTTTTCAGATTTATGTGGGGACCAAGGAAAGTTTGGGTAAATAACTTTTCCACCTGGAAGGAAAATTGCCAACACTTGAATGGGACAAAAATTCCCATTTTAATAATGGATTTTTATGGTTAAAATGGGCATTGCCTTATTTACATGAGAAATAAAAGAACATGGGTAAATGCACTTACTCGGGTAAGTGTTTCATAGGAAAAATTTACCCAGGTAAATAACTTACCGAAAAGCGAACAAAGGTTAATTGTAATTCGATTTCTACATTAAGGGGGAATTAAGTAGCTTTATTGAATTCCTATATTGTGGTCTAAATCAAACGAGAAGGAACTCTACCATCTGCCACAAAGAAAAAAAAAAGGAACAGAGAGTTTTGATTTGGTGTTTTATTGCCCATACTTGGGGGTGGTATGGTAAGTTTGTAAGAAAATGTTCATTGACTAAAAACATGTTTAGGTGGCTCTGTAGAAGTTTTCAAAGAGTGTGGGTTTAAGAGAAATACTATGAAAAATGTCATGGGGAGTTTTAGTAACCCTTTTTTATTGGTAAAAATTTTACTTGTTTTCCTAAGGGTGAGCAAATTGGTAGGTCCTAATTGCCCCTATTTGATCTATTAGTAGGTAGGTTTTGGTTTCATGTTCTTGGAATTAATCCTCTCACAGTCCGGTCTAAGGGTTTAGATGTTTACCCTACTGTAATTAACCCAGGGAACCAACCTTAATCGGCCTTGGTGGAACCAAATTTGCCTTGAAATTTTGAAAAGATCCAAAAAACTAAGGATGTGAAAATTCAGACCCAATCACTCATGTTTACAAAGATTGTGGACTCACTTGACCATTAGTAAGTCACTTTAAAAGGTAATATTTACAAAATTTATATTAAGGCAAATTTCTTAAAACATCCTTATTGTTTAGCTAAATAACAAATTGTATCCTTATTGTTTAACTATTGTCTTAAACCACCCCTACTATTTTTGACAATGGACTAACTCTACCCTTGCCATTAGCATCTATTAATGTTCCAGCAAAATCCATACACACGTGACACCACATGATGTATAAATTCTTTTTAAAACCCAATATTACCCTTCGTCCCTCTTCTAGGTAAGGATCACCACTTGTGGTCACTGGAATACTCACTCGGTTTGGTAGTTTTTATTATATGTAAAAATTGAACTAACAAAATACAAATCGGAATCCTGAATAGGTCAGTGAGAGGGACATTCAGATGTTGGGAGGACATAAACAGAGAATAGCAATCACACGAGTAGTAATTAGAGCGCCCTGAATACTTTTGCTATACGAGGCAACTAGTGCATTGTACTCAAAATCAAAGAGAATCATCCAAGAAGCACTAGACAACACTACGGTAAGCCACATAATGATTGTGATCACTCACGGTCTCTCCATAATCCGCAACGCCGATGTGATTGTAGTGGTACAGAATGGTCAGGTTGTTAGAGTTGCATCCGTTATTCACGTAACGTAACTCATGCAACTCATGTAATGGCTATCTCAGTCGTGCACGATAAGGTTTATCCGCATGAATGTATTGTACATTTAGAACTCTATCTCAAACGATAGAATTCTATGATCTCTATCATAACCAACGGACTTATCTTGTATTTTGTATCTAACTCATCATTAACCTGAGATAATACATTGAGTGTTTTGTATCCTCTTGAATTCGATCTTCTCTCTCACTTCCCTATGAGCTACTATTTGGACGTCCCCATATTATAGCCGCCTCAAAGTTTTTGGGTGTGATTGCTATCCCAATCTACGCCCTTACAACAAGCAAAAGTTCGACTATCACACTCTTTGTTGTACTTTTCTCAGCTACAGTCCTTGCCATAAGGGGTATTGTTGCTTGCACAAATCAACTAGCCGTCTCTACATTTCTGATGATGTGATCTTCGATGAAAATACTTTCTCTTATAGTGTTGGGCCTTCTCAAAGCACTCATCATAAGGATACTCCATCAACACCTTCTCCTTCCATTTTGGGCCCAGCTCCGGTACTGGACCCTGCCTTCAGCCCACCAATCATCCTCCAGCTTTCGGACAACACTGCACCTCCACAAGCTCACCAGCCTACCAACCAGCCCATTGATGCGTTTAGCACCATCGCACCGTCACAAGCCCATCAGCCTGCCACTTAGTTCACTGATGTGCCCGCAACCATCGCGACTCCACAGACCCATCCGCATTCTCTAGCAGCCCAGTTCACTACACAACCTAGCACTATCGTTATCAGTGAGCCATCCCCTACCATCGACTCTCTTGCTTCTTTGGTTCCCACTTCAGCTCCTTCCCACGGCATGCAGACCAGATCCAAATCTGGGGTGTTCAAGCTGAATTCCAAATATGTGTTAACCTCTACCACTACTTAGACAGAACCTACTTGCTACACAGGCTGCCCGTGATCCCAACTAGCATAACGCTATGAACACTGAGTTCACTGCCATTGTTCAGAACCACACTTGGTCACTCGTCCCACCACCTCTTGACAAAAACATTGTGGGTTGTCATTGGGTTTACAAGATAAAGCGCCACACCAATGGCACCATCGAATGGTACAAAGCCCGTTTAGTTTCTAAGGGTTATCACTAGCAATAGGGTATTGACTTTATTGACACTTTCAGTCCTGTGGTTAAGCCATCAACCTTTCGATTGGTTCTTTCAATTGCGACATCCAAATCATGGCCCACTCGCCAATTGGATGTCAACAATGCATTTCTCCACGGATATTTAAGTGAAGAAGTTTATATGAGTCAGCCACCTGGCTTCCAACACCCCTCCTTTCCTGACCACGTGTGCAAGCTACACCGGTCTCTCTATGGCTTACGACAGGCTCCATGGGCTTGGTTCACCCGACTCCACAATTTCTTAATTGCACATGATTTCACTGAGTCCAAAGTTTATGCATCATTGTTTATCCATCACACATCTCAGGACATCACCCTGATACTCATTTATGTCGATGACACTATTGTCACTGGATCCAACCCAGTCATCATCGACCCTTTCATCAAAGCTCTCACCTTTGAATTCTCCATACGGAACCTTGAACCTCTTCACTTTTTTCTTGGGCTGGAATCAAAGCCCACATCTGATGGCATTCTTTTATCTCAGTCCAAGTATGCTCTGGACCTCCTTCAATGCACTTGAATGGCGGAGCAAAACCTTGTACCACTCCCATGGCAGCCACCATTAAGCCCTCTACTGAAGACTCTGATGCATTTGATGACCCTACTCTATACCGTAGAACTGTAGGTGCTTTGCAGTACCTAACTGTGACTCGTCCAGACTTGGATTTCTCGATCAACAAAGTTGCACAGTACATGTCTAAAACCACAATTAGTCATTGGGCCGCTGTAAAACGTATCCTCTGGTACATAAAGCACACTCACACTCTGGGTCTTCACATTCACCGCTCTCAGTCCACTCAACTTCATGGTTACACTGACTCCGATTGGGTTGGGTACTTGGACGACCGCCACTGTCAGGGAGGTTACTTCATCTACTATGGGCCCAATCTCATCTCTTGGTCCTCCAAGCAAAAGTCCAATGTCTCAAGATCGAGTACAAAAGCAGAGTGTCGGTCCCTCGCCATCCTTGCAGCTGAGCTCACTTGGATTCAGATGCTTCTTCATGAAATGGGTCTACCTTTGGTATCCTCTCCAGTTTTGTGGTGTGACAACATCGGGGCAACTTACTTAGCCTCTAATCCTATTCATCATTCGTGCAGCAAACACGTTGAACTAGATTTTCATTTTGTTCGAGATAAGGTTCAACATCGCCTTCTTGAAGTCCGTTTTCTCACCATCGTTGATCAAACAACTGACATCTTTACCAAACCTCTCCATGTTCGACACTTCACTTTCTTACGTGACAAGCTCTCCTTAACAAGCACAGCATCGCTTGAGGGGGCGTGTTAGAGTTACATCTGTTATTCACACAACGTAACTCATGTAACTCATGTAATGGCTATCTCAATCATGCATGATAAGGTTTATCCGCCTGAATGTATTGTACATCTAGACTTCTATCTCAAATGATAGAGCTCTATGAACTCCAACAAACCGAATTGGGTAGAGAAGTAGAGGCTCCATCAACATCGTCCTTACCATCCCATATCGTGAGCCAAAATAACTACAATAAAGGCCACAACACTAGTAGCCGACAATTCTCAATGTTAAGTAGATCCAGTTGAGTGAACTTGACAGTTGCAACGAGTCGAGCATCATTAGGGGGTTACGTGGAAGCCAACAAGGAGAAAGACTTGCCGGTACCATCATTGTGAAGCTGCTACTTAATTCCACCAATATGATCAGTTCAATGCAAACTGTCTGGTTAATCCCATCACGAAATAGCTCTTGCTTGCTTTGGTGTTGTTTGGATCTACTGCTACAACATCATTGATGGTGGTGAACTTTTCACTTCCATCTTGGCTCACCACCACCAAATCACTAACTAGGACATTAGGTATGATTATTTGAGAGATATCACATCTCCGCCCCACAATGAGCCACCCCATAACGCCCCACAACACATCTCCGCTGTGTATTGGAAACATCTCCCGATGATGACATTATCGGGACAGATACTATCATTGGAAGATGTTCACAATACACTGTGGGGATGTGTGTGGGGCGGCTCCTGATAGGGCGGAGATGTGAACTCTGTCTGAACAAGCTTCCTTCTGCTCACCGACTCATACATTTTCTGGATACGACTCAACATGATTAGAGGTAAGCGATTGTCTTGAACTTCTTCCATGTCAGAGAACATGGGCTTCCTCCCCTTGGCTTTGTTCTTTTTATGAACCCAACCACGTGTAAACAACGCTTGAAAGACACTGTAGAGTTTGTTTATGTTGGAGAGAGGGGTGTAAATACCATTCTTGACACTCTAAGATGATGTAGTTGCCTGTAGGCCATCTAAACAAGTTTGTTGGTTAGTCATTATGGCACTAAGCAAGGTATGGACGTCATTGGCTTGCAAGTTGGGCAGAGCTTTGTCAAAACTGACCATATTGATTGTACTTGAAAAGAAATCCAAATTTAGGGCTTGTTCGTTCGCTCTGAAGTCTGATATCTGAAAGTGCAATAATTACATTAAGAGGTATATTGGTATTGGTGAACTTTTCTTTCCTCTAAACTCTAAATGCAAAGAATGTTGTTTTGAACTCTAAATTCTGAATTTTGAAAATTATCAAATATCCATTTTGACCTCATATATTAGAGTTTTTGTTTGTCTTTTTGGGGGTATCATTGAAAAACAAAAAATTGTATGATTGCACTTTAAGAGATAAGAGATAAATGGAAACGGACAACCATTTTTCTCTTAAAGTTAAAAAATTCCTATTAAGAGATAAGAGTTAAGAGGAAACGAACAGGCCCTTAGTGTGGTTAGGAGTCGTCGATCATTCTCATTGTTTGAACATTCCGAAGCGGAAGCAAGTGAGCTTAGGGTGTGTGAGTGCGGCATTATTCGGTGGGGTGCAACCGGTGTACATGTTTGTGATGGGAAGTATGATATCAATGTATTTCTTACTAGATTTTTGAGGTAAAGAAATAATAAGTAGGGTGGATTTAAGCCAAATTGAGTTGAATATTTGGCTATTCATGCCCGACTCGTAAAAAAACACGAGGATTGAGACCAATTTGAGCTAAGAGACTTGAGCTAGAATTTAACTTGGCTCTAAAGCATGTATATTGGACCTCGGCTCGACTTAACCTTGATTATGAACCAAACTTCCTATAAAAAACAAAACTTATACATATAAAAACCATTTTTTTATTTTATATACAAAAAATAAAAATTATAAAAATTATTTATTATCATACATACATATAAAAAATAAAAATATTATTTATACATAAAAACTATTGTTATACATATTAAACTATTTAATATTATTTATAAACTATTGTTATACGTACTCACAAGCTGAATTTTATTAGACTCGAATTCCACTCAAAGCTTGATTTGATCTGAACCAAATGGAGGTTTTCACAAATCAAATCCGAATAGCTCATGAAAAGCGGATTCATGTTCATCTTTAAGATTAATTTCCAATGTTTACCCAAAAAAAATGTTCTAAGGCCCTTTAAAGCTAAGCTTTCGGTTCCAAAAGTGGAACCTATAGAATTCGGATTAACTGAACCTTTAGCTGTTCCACGCCAATAATAAATTCATTACCCCATTACAATTGCGGCCCCATATATTTAAGGGGTTATTTCAGATAAGGGCAACTTTTTGCCAGGTTAACTTTTCTAGAAAAATATAAAAAAAGAGCAGTAATACTGTTCATCGTCTTCTTCTATTGCTCTCTCAAGAGGAAGCTGCTCTCTCCAAAATCAGTTAGGAAATCCAAGTTCCTCAGTCTTGAAAGTGAACTTTTACCGGAATAATAACCGGAATCCTGCGAAATGAGCCATCCTCAACTCAACCTTTTTCCATTACACCCAGAAAATCTCTTACAAGAGAAAGACGTTCTTGATCAAGACAACGTGAATTATTTCTTTCACGGCAGAGGCAGAGCAACCTTGAACGGTCTCCTTGGCGGGTGTTCCGGGGATGGGAGTAGCGTGGTGTTGTCCTCTGATGAGGACTCCTTGTGCTCGTCAAAAATTTTCCGCCACAGATATATATGACGACGGATTGTGCTGAAGGGTGTGGCGGGAGTGGCGGTGCTCTGATGAACTGCTACTCCCGTCAAAAATATATCTGTAGCGGGTGTGGCGGTTGTAGCGTTGTACTCGTAAAAAAATTTTCCGAATCTCAGC